CCCGCGGGCCTGCGAGCACCCACCTGCTCTCGCTCGCCCGTGCTCGCCCGTGCGCCCGCTCATGCACCTGCCCTCTCGCGTCCATGCCCGCGTCCGAGTCGGGTCAACCTGTGTTGGGTCAGGTCTGGGTTTGGATTTCCGACGCGTTTACCTACCCGGGTCGAGTTAGGGTCGACCCATTTGAACTAGGTTGGACCCGAACCCGACCCGTGACCCGAAATTGACACCCCTAGTTTGAGGACTGCAAACAGGTGACGTTGGTTCGAGGAGCACAGTCTTGTGTCACTGTTCGATGGATCGTAGTTGGGAGACATAGGCCAAAGGAATTTAGTCATACAATAATGGTTGTAAGAAATGTGGTTAGGTGGTGGTGATCGAATGACCTTAGTCGAGTAATGATGGTTGGAAGATCGTAGTCGAGTGATAATGGACTGATGTTGTGACACCTCCAGAATCATTATACAGTTCAACATGTTATAACTCGATCTAAGAAAAGCAATCCATTGAATTTCTGCTTTGAACCATTTTGTATGTGTTTGGAAGTATTTAATATGTATATGAAAGTATGCAAGTGTTCTGAAATGGGTCCCGATGGTTTATTTGCATGTTTTGGAAATCTAAAATCTTTCCCCTGGGGTGCCGCAATGTTTGGGAGGAGGCGTTGAGCTCTTTGGAATTTTGGAAATTAAGAGAGAGAGAGAGAGAGAGAGAGAGAGAGAGAGAGAGAGAGAGAGAGTTGGGCGTCATTTTCAACTAATATACCAATCTTACAAGTTATTCAAATCGAGATTATTTTGCCTATCTCAGTTTTTAAATATTACAAAAAAATTAATTTGTTTATTTAATTTATAATTCTGCTAGTAAAAATAGGAATAACTTGTTATCTATAAATTTTTAAATGTGTAACTTTCTATATGTAAACATATGAGTATATGACAATTTTGAATATTAATTTAGGTTTTTCTAGAAATTTTACAAGAGGTATTTTGGGAATTTCTCAATTTTAATTGATTAATACATAATTTTGACTCTGAAAAATAATGATGTAGTGTAACTAAAGTCTTTAAATAATATTCTATGCAATCACAAGCAATTTTGTTACAATCACTGCCTACCATTAAGGTATTTTGATAATTTTTTAAATGATTTTATTTACATTCATGATTATGCAATGCAATTAATTATGTGCTTATCTAATTGAGATATGTGATATGATTTTTAGGAGGTTTGGACTAGATAGAGGAAGTCCTATTTGGTGCTATATGCATATCTTGATGCCAATGGCACATTTTGTTACTATATGTACACGATATTATATTGTTAGAGATTGAGAGTCATAAGGTTCAGAATTATCTGAATTCTTTCTGTTGGAAGCCATGAGGGTTATAATTATATGAATTCTATCTATTATAAGTCATAAGGGCCAGAATTCTTTGAATTCTGTCTAATGAGAATCATAAAGGCCCTGATGGAGAGATTTATTACTTTTTGCTATGATATATGGATTAGTTGTTATTCATTTATCCAATATTGTTATTTGAATTCCTAGTAACTACGATTACTATTCTGCTCAACACAGTGATTTATTATATTACTTTTAACACTCAATTAATGCCTAATAACGAATTCATTTATTTATTTAGATTGATAAAAGTGGCATGCTGAGCTATATTGGTTCACAGTTGTTATACCTTCTGCTTTCAGGGCCTGAGAAAGGAAAAGAACATATTAGTAGGAGTCACAGGATTTGATTTGAGTTTGTAAAGGTACTTTTTTGAAAATTTTGTACAATAATAGATAATCATTTGATCGGCTCTGTTCCATATTCAGATATGTAGCAATGAACTATAATATAATTATTGTATATACTTTTAATAATAAACGTAAGAAATTTTATAGATCAATTTATTTTTGTACTCCTAAATTATTAGCAGTTATGTGGGTTGTTTTTTTGTTTTAAAGTTAAAATTGGATGAAAAATCTAAATAGTTTTATAAACTCAAATTTTGGAGTAAACCTACTACAAAACAACATGATAGGATCTGACTAGTCTGTGGGTCTTATTAGGTTAAACAGTGGCAGTCCCTTTTTGATATCAAAGCAGTGGTTTTGGAAACTTATTGTAAACATAGCTATAGGATTTTGTGACAGACCCTTTGTGATATCAAAATAGTACAGGGCAGAGTTTACTGTTTTAGCCAGAAATGCTTCGAAGTCGATTAGCACTTCCGAGAAGAAGTGCGATAGTTTTCTGAGAGTGCTTCGAGACAATTATGAAATGTGTGATTCCCTTATAAAATTGTTAAATTTATAGTGTGTGTGTGTTTATATATATTTAAATATATATATATATATATATAATTATTATTGTTTATAAAATTTATGTAAACATTATAGAAATTCTTCTTATTTAAAGCATTATTTCACACGTATTAATTACATATTTCTCTCTCTTCTCCGCTTCCTACATTCACAAGGATGTCTTCCCTTTACGCCAAACTGTCTCCCAATAGCCGGAAAATATTCAAAGTCACCCTCCCCACCTTCCTCCGCCACTCTCTCTACTCCCCCAAACCATCCCCCGGCCGAATCAATACCAAAATCAAACATCTCCGCGAAATCTTCCACCACTTCGACGCCAACCGCGACGGCAAAATCTCAGCCGACGAGCTGCGATCCATCTTCTCGTCCGACGGCAGAGCCGAAGCGTTCACGAAGGAGACCGTGGCCGCAATCTTACCGGGGCTTGATATCGACGGCGACGGGCTCATCGGGTTCGATGACTTCGTGGCAATGATGACGGCGGAGGAAGAGACCGAGGAGGAGCTCCGGCGAGTTTTTGAGGAATTTGAAGGGGAGAAAGGGTCGGGGAGGATATCGCCGGCGGGTTTGCAGAGGGTTTTACGTCGGCGGCTTGGCGAGGATCGGACGGTGAAGGATTGTGAGGCGATGATAAGGCCGTTTGATCTGGATGGAGATGGTGTATTGGATTTTGGTGAGTTTAAGATGATGATGACGAGTTAAGGTGTTGGGTGAATTTTTCTTTTTGTATTTAACAAAATTTTAAGCTATTCCGCATGAAAATTTCTTATTCCACTTATTCGATATATTTTTTAAATATATTTATATGTTTTGTATTTATCTCTCTCTCTCTATCCGGTCGGCACTAAAATCCCGCCAAAAAATTCGGTATTTGCTCGGTATTGCTAGGTATTATTTGGTAATAATGAGGAATACCACTCTGTGAAGATCAATGCCGAGTTATACTGAGCTATACCGAGCAATACCAAGTTATACAAAAAAATATCGAGTTTTTTCTAGGAAAAACTCTAGAAAAAACTCGGTATTTTTTTGTATAACTCGGTATTGCTCGGTATAGCTCGGTATAACTCAGTATTGCTTGGTATAGCTCGGTAACACTCGGTATTGGGTCTTCACATGATGGTATTCCTCGTTATTTTTTGGTATTGCTCGGTATTTCTTGTTTTTTGGTGCGATTCCGGTCGGAGGACCTAATAATTGTTCCTCACACACACACAGATATATATATATATATATATATATGATAGGGCTTCAAGCAGTGGCGGAGCCAGAAATTTTATTAAGGGGGGGCACTGTTTGAGACAATTTTCTTACTGGTTTTTTAAAGCATATAGGCACCCTTAGCTCTTAGAAATAATTATCTACAGTTGTTGTGACTTCAAAATTTTATTCCATGAATATTATCAACAAATTTATTTTAAAATATATATAGGCACATCAAATTTATTTTTGCTTCTTTATGTTTTGAATATATCTAACGATTTAGGCTTCGTTGGGACAGCTTTTTTACTATTTTTAAAGAAATTTTTTAGCTAAAATTTTTTTCAAATAAAAATTTTGTACTAAAAAATAGTTTTAAAAAATAGCAAATTGTCCCAAATAGGACCTTAAACTATATTATTAATTTGTGCTTGATTAGATAGATTTAAGGAAAAGTAATTTAATTTAATTTTCTCTTTATATCTCTTTTTTGGGAATTTAAACAATTTAACCTAATAACTCTCTCTCTCTCTCTACCTTATAGCACACAACTTTAACACATACACCAATATAAAGCTAAGTACCAAAAAAAATTAAGTACCAGTACAATGATAAAAAAAGTTAGAATGAAATTGGCAACAAGCTTTTCCTTCCTCGTTTTCTGCAATTTCCTTTCCTCTCATACCTGCTACACTGTTAATTATTTTTTTGGGGGAATTACACTGTTAATTATAGATAAAACTAATTTTTTTAGGGGGGGGCACGTGCCCCCCCTTGCCCCCCCCCTCCCCCCCCCCCTTAAACCCCCCCCCTCCCTCCGCCCTTGGCTGCAAGCGAATTAAACGTTTGACGAGCAACTCATTGCTCGGTTAGATTAAAACTCATTTGTGATCTTTTAACTAACTAAAAAAACAAACTTGAACAACATTTTTAATATTCGATCATTAAATAAACAAGCTTGAACACTAATGTGGTGGGTTCATTTATGTCCACAAACATGAGCATGCTCGACATTAAGCTCGATTCGTGTTTGATTCAAAACTAATGAATAAGCTCGATAAAAATTTGATTAATATTTAATTATAAAATTGATAAATATATATAATGCAAATATTTTAATTTATTATAGCATAATGATATAATTATTTTAATTAGTAAATTTTAAAGAAATTAAATATTATAATATATATTATAGTTTTAATTTTCTTATAATTGCTAATTTATTATATTAGATCTTGCTCATTTGATAGCTCAAGAATACTTGTTAGATTTGTTCATGAACATGCTTGTTTGATAGTTTAAAAAAATTCACTAAATATGTTCA